GGTATATATTTACTATGTGAGGGCCAAGTGTACGGCTACGATGCTGTATGCTAATATTAGCGTAGTGGATTTTGGTAGCCGTTGGATTGGTTTCAATCCGGACTATTCGCTCCTGTATATAAGCTAGGGTTTAGGCTAATTGATATACACATTTTTGTATTCCCTTTCCATATTCCATGCACTCACATTGGTGGAGATGAAGGGCACCTTTGATTGTCCCTAGGGAGTGCTTGGATTTGGGATTTCGGTTTAGATATAACTTTTGCATCGTTTAGATCTAGCTTTTTTCATTTTCTTTCTTTTGTTCTTTCCTTTCAGGATTTTGGTTTAGATCTAGCTTTTTGCATTGTCTAGATCTACCATTTCTTTCCAGCTTTTTTTGTCATTTCTCTTCTTTTGCTCTTTCTTTTTAGTTCATCTTCATGGCTGATCTGCAATCTCCTCCTTTGACTCTAGAGCAGCAGTTGGTTCAATTGCTTGATGCTATGCGCTTGCAATTGAACAACCAAACTCAGTTGATGGCGGCGTTCACGGCACGTGGTATAACTCCTCCTGCTCTTGGTGCCAATCCTCGCGTTCGGCCGGAGTTCTTTCGCGGGAATCCTAGGGATGATGTGTACTATTGGTTTGATCACTTTACGGTGATTGCCACATATCATTCTTGGGATGATGCTCGATAGTTGCGTGAGTTTCCCACGTGTCTCCAAGGGACGGCGTTGCAATGGTACAATGGTTTGAGTGCAGCCACTCGTGGGGATTGGAGTGTTCTCCCGGACGTCTTCAAACGCACTTTCAGACATGCCGATGATTGTGATGATGCTTTCCAACAATTGCATCGTCTTCGCCAAGGGCCATCTGAGTCAGTGATGCAATTTGGCATTCGTTTCCGAAGTCTTTTGCTTCATGCAGAGCCAAATATGTCGGAGCCAAATATGTCGGAGCGGATCAAGCTAGGAATGTTGTGGCCAGCACTTCGTCAAGATCTTGTCGGACTTGTGCATGCACTTGCTCTTGCCACCCTTGACGATGCTCTTCACTTGGCACAATGTTATGAGACGTTGCCTCTTCCACTTCTCACTGCACGTCCTTCCGCTCCACTTCCTATGGGTGATGGTCCTGTTCCAATGGAGGTTGATGCTGCTGCTGCTCGAGTCCAAGGACAAGCGCGAGGACGTGGTCGTGGCCGTGATGTTCGTTGCTGAGCGTGTGATGAAGTTGGTCATACCTATCGGCGTTGCCGTCGTTTTCCGGATTGGCGACCTCCATTTCCTGGGTGGAGACCTTGGCGTCAGCAACGTCCCCTGGGTGCTGCTGCAGTGGAAGGTCTGGACACCGAGATGCATCCGGGAAACGAGGAGTCGCGCAAGTAACGGAGGGACCTTGTGCGAATAAATCAGTGACCCCTCCATCTTTCTTTCGGGAGTATCATCAAGGGGTTCACTTGGCACTAGTTCATTTAGTGTTTACTTTCCAAGCTTGTTTTTATAACAAGAGGTCTCCTATTATTCTCTCCGTGTTGGTTGATACAAGTTCGAGTTTATCTTCTATTGCTCGACCTGTTGCCACACGTTGTCGTCTACACTTGTGTTATGCGGCAGAACCAGTTTTCATTCTTTATGGCAACGGCCGTACACATGCATGTGCACGGGATGAGGTGGACCTGGTTGTGCGTGTGGGCGATCTCGAGCTTGAGTTGCATTCGTTGCGGGTGGTGTCGAGTCAAGCTTTTGACCTCATTCTTGGTATGGATTAGTTGCAGCGCGACTTTGCCCCTTCATCCCTCTACTTTTACCTCTGCTTCCATTACTTTTGTTCCCCCACTCTTTCCTTCTGTGTTTCCATCTTGTTCTGCTTTTCCCTTTTCCAATCCCTCCGACGCTCTTTGTGTTGCAGCAGTTGACCGGCTCATAAAAGAGTATTCTGATCTCTTTGAATTTGACCTATCGTCTGGGGCCAAGATTGCCACACGTCATCCGATTCCAACCGGGGATGCTCGTCCAATCAAGGTTCCTGTTCGTTGTCGGTCACCTAAGGAGATCAAGATTTTACGAGCAAACGTCAAGGAAATGCTGGAGAAGGGTGTTATTCGGACGTCGCGGAGTCTTTGGGCATGTGAACCTCATCTTGTGATGAAGCCTGATGGGAGTATTCGTTTCTGCATCGACTATCGTCCGTTAAACGAAGTGACGATCCCAGATGTGTATCCTCTTCCTCACATTGCTGATCTCTTGGATCGTCTGGGGCGAAGTTGTTGGTTCACCAAGCTAGATTTTGCTTCTGGGTATTGGCAAGTACCGATGGCCGAAGAAGATATTCCTAAGACTACTTTTCGTACACCATTTGGTTTGTACGAGTTCTTGGTGATGCCGTTTGGTTTGAACAATGCTCCAACAACTTTCCAGCGGATGATGGATGAGGTTCTTTGCGATATGCCGGAGGTGACTACTGACTTCATTGATGATGTCTTGATCCACTCGGAGGGGACGTGGGAGGAGCATGTTCGTGATGTTTGTAAAGTGTTGGATCGGTTACGTGATGTTGGTTTAAAGCTGAAGCGGTCAAAGTGCGTGTTTGGGTCCAAGGACACAACTTATCTTGGGTACCGTATTTCTCGTGAGGGTTTGCAAGTTGATCCTGACAAACTTGTGGCTGTTCTAAAGTTCCCTACTCCGAAGTGTGTGAATGATGTGCAGCGCTTTTTGGGTAAGGTGCAGTATCTCGGTCATTTTGTGGATCATCTTTCCGATCGCACTACACCATTGCGAATGTTGCTGAAGTCATCAACGTCATCTTTCATCTGGTCTCTGGATTGTGAGCGGGCGTTCGTGGATCTCAAAGAGCTATTAACGACTTCTCCGGTTTTGGCATATCCTGACTACACTCGACCTTTTATTTTGCACATGGATGCTTCTGACATTGGTCTTGGAGGTGTGTTGATGCAAGAGAGCTCGAGTGTGCTTGGTCAGTGCCATCCCATTGCATACATAAGCCGTACATTACAACCAGCGGAGATGAACTACTCCACGACGAAGAAGGAGTGTTTAGCAGCAATCTGGGGTTTCGAGAAACTTCATGCCTATCTACATGGTTCTCGGACGTTACTTGAAGGTGACCATGCTGCTGTTACTTCATTATTGAAGCGGAAGAACCTGGTTGGTCGTACGGCTCGATGGGCTTTGAAGTTTCAGATATATGATTTCGATGTTATTCATCGCCCAGGGAGTTCTATGGCTGATGCTGATGCCCTTTCTCGAGCTCCTCTTCCTTCTCCACTCACTTCTCATATTTCTGACGAACCTGTTGTTCCAGCGTCTGTGGATTTTCTAGATGAGGATTCTATGCCGTCGGCGGTTGCTATCCTTGACGTTCAGTGTCCATAGGGCATAGCGCAAGATTTACCTTCTCTTGATGAGGTTCGCGAGGCTTAAAAGATTGAGCCGTGGATTCGAAGGCTTCGAGATGGGTTTAAGAATCCTGCATCACTTGCTGATGACTTGCCTTTCCGGCATTTACATTCTCAATATCGCCTTAAAGATGGCTTTCTTTATTTTGTGGGGACGGATCCTGATGATCATTTATGGTTGGTGGTGCTTTCGGTGTTTATTCCGCGGTTTCTCCATGCCTACCATGATTCTCCTGTTCTAGATGGGCATATAGGACACCGTCGTGTCACCGAGAAGCTGTGCAGGTCTTTTTATTAGCCGGAGATGCGAGGTGATATTATCCGGTATGTGCGTAGCTGCGTTTGGTGCCAAACTCGTAATACTCCCCCTTGTGCTGCGGAGGGACGGTTGGAGTCAATTGCAGTTTCCCGTCCATTTGAGTTGGTGGCATTTGATCTTATGGGACCTTTTCCACGATCGACTGCTGGCAATGAGTATGTTATTATTGCTTCTGACTACTTGACTCGTTGGGTGGAAGTTAGTGCTCTTGCTAGCGCCTCTACAACTGCTGTTGGATACTTCCTCCTCAATCGAGTGGTGTTTCAGCATTCTTGTCTAGAGCGGATTCTTTCGGATAATGGTCTTGCATTTATGGCTGAGGTATTTCATGTTTTGACATCTCGGTTGGGGATACACCACACTTTTACGAGTATTTATCATCCACAATCAGATAGTCTGGTGAAACGGCTCGTTCGGACATTTAAAGGGATGTTTGCGAAGTATGTGAACTTTCAGCATTCGGATTGGGATAGTTATTTGCCGTCTCTTCGGTATGCCTATGTCACAGGGGTGCAAAGTTCTGTTGGTGCTTCACCATATAAACTTCTATATGATCATAATCCAATATTACCAACAGAGTTGGGTTTACCTTCGCGATTGCCATGAGCTCCTGATGCTAGGTCATGGGATCAGTATTTGACAAACATTCTTCCACTTGTCCAAGCAGAGTTTGCCGAACACTTAGGCCGCGTACAAGTGGGACAACAACAGCGCTACAACTCCCATCATTGTCCACCTGTGGAATACAAAGTGGATGATTTGGTGTTAGTCCGTTTTCCCCATCTTACGGTACGTGGTTTATCTAAGGGGCTCCTTGCACAGTGGAAAGGACTGTATCGGGTGTTGCAGCAAGTTGGACAACAAGTTTATGAGGTTTGGCATGACATTCAGCAGGCCGATCCTCCGGAGATTGTGCATGTGCAGCAGTTAAAACGCTTCATACAAAGGGATCAGGAGCAGTTAATACCGTCTACAGATCCGCCGATGCCTCCTCCTGACGTTCCTCTAGATCCCGGCCCATCTAGAAGAGAACCCTGACGGCCTTCCATTATTCTGAGAGGAGGGGATGATGTGAGGGCCAAGTGTACGGCTACGATGCCGTATACTAATATTAGCATAGTGGATTTTGGTAGCCGTTGGATTGGTTTCAATCCGGACCACTCGCTTCTGTATATAAATTAGGGTTTTTGGGCTAATTGATATGCATATTTCTGTATTCCCTTTCCATATTCTATGCACTCACAACTACAAATTTAATTTGTATCTTAATTACTTTTAGTACCATAATAAAATATATCTGATTAAGCGACATTTAGCCGTAGTATTTTCATGATATATCAACATTTTTCCTACCTCTGGCTGTTCAAAATATACTGGAGTTTGTATTGTACAGAGTTGACAATCGGAGGAGCTGCAGCGAAGAATTATGATCTGGAGGTGTGGTTTCCTGCCACAGGGAAATCGATCAAAGTAAGCATCCATCTCGATCGATATCCTCTTGGTGAGATTGGTGGTGCATGCTTGGCAATCAGAGTTCATGGCATCCAAGGAAGAGCCAGCCACTGGAAGTTCTCCTGGAAAGCATCGAGATTGCTGTCACAGGACACGTGGTCGACGCGGTCGCGAAGTAGAGCACCCATTTTCATGAAAAATCGAAAGCATATGCGCTTTCAAGGCAAGGGATCTAGGGCTCCTGGGGAATTGAATGTGGTGGAAATGGGGGCAATGGAGCATTCGCCGGCGGTTCGCGCGTCTCCATAGCAGCCACGCAGAAGCGCCGTCCACGAATCAAACCGATCACTTCGAAGAAACCAAGCAAATCTACACGGCCAAGCTCCGCGACTGCACCAATTCCAGATCCCTGCCCCAGGCCCGGCGCCTCCACGCGGAGATCTCCTCGATCGGCCTCATCCGCGACCATTTCGTGGCCAATCTGGTGATCCACATGTATGGCCGCTGCGGCGACATCGCCAGCGCGCGCGAGATCTTCGACTCCATGCCCCGGAGGAACCGATTCTCGTGGTCGATCATGATCGGTGCATATGCCCAGACCGGGCATGGCCGCGACGCGCTGGAGCTCTTCCAGCGCATGGGCCGGGAGGGTGTCCGCCCCAGCAGCGTCACATTCGTGGTGCTGCTCAGCGTGTGCGCTGATCTGGGCGGCGCCGCGCTGGGCGAGGGCCGAGCCATCCACGCCAAGATCATCGCTGACGGCCTCGCCGCGGATCCCATCCTCTGCAACAATCTCGTCAACATGTATGGCAAGTGTGGCAGCCTGCGCGACGCCAAAGAGATCTTCGAGAGCTTCTCGTCCGGGAGGGACGTGGTGGCGTGGACCGCGATGATCCAGGCGTATGCCCAGCTCGGGCACAGCGCCGCCGCCCTGGAGCTCTTCTGGGCGATGGTCGAGGCCGGCGAGGCGAGGCCCAACCGCGTCACCTTCATCACCGCGCTGGGCGCGTGCTCCAATCTCCACGATCTGGAAGAGGGCCGGAAGATCCATCGCTACATCGATCGCTACGAAGAAGAGGAGAGGAGCGATGTTCTCGTCGCCACCGCGCTGATCAACATGTATGGCAAGTGTGGCAGCGTCGAGGACGCGCGAGAGATCTTCCAGGGGATCCCAAAGAGGGACGTGATCGCCTGGAACGCGATCATCGCAGCAAATGCCCAGCTCGGGCACGGCAAGGAGGCGCTGGAGCTCCTCCAGCGGATGGATCTCGAGGGGGTCCGCCCCAACCAGGTGAGCTTCGTGAGCGCCCTCGACGGCTGCGCGAGCATCGGCGCGCTGGCGGAGGGGCGATCGATCCACGCGCGCGTCCGGGCGTCGCGGAGTCTCGCGAGCACGACGCTAGGCAACACGCTCATCCACATGTATGGCAAATGCGGGAGCCTGGCGGGCGCCCGGGTGGCGTTCGAGGAGATGGGCGGCGCCGCCGCGCCGCGCGACGCGGTGTCGTGGGCGGCGCTGGTGGCGGCGTACGCGCGGCACGGCCTTTCCCGCGCGGCGCGCGAGGTCTTCGAGAGGATGGCGTGGGAGGGCGTGCAGCCGTCGGGCGTCGCGTTTGTGAGCATCCTGGCGGCGTGCAGCCACGGCGGGCTCTTGCTGCCCAGCCGGAGCTACTTCCTGGCCATGAGCGGCGACCACGGCATCGCGCCCTCGATGGAGCACTACGGCTGCGTGATCGATCTGCTAGGCCGGCTGGGGATGATGGAGGAGCTCATGGATCTCATCGCCGCTATGCCGTTCGAGCCGGGGGGGATCGAGTGGCGGAATGTGCTGGGCGCTTGCAGGACGCAGTCGGATGTGGAGAATGGATCCGACGCCGCCGAGATTGCGAGGGAGCTGGAGCCCGAGCACGCCGCAGCCTATGTAATGCTCTTCGGACTTTACAGCACGGAAGAACCCTAATTTCCTGGGAATTAGGGTTCTAGAGATGGAGATGGAGAATGAGCGCAGCATCTACAAGATCGCCAGGAGCATCAAGCGCAAGGAGCAGTCGCTCTACAATGCGTTGCGCTCCATCTACGATGACGCCGGGTTCGTGGCGGAGATTCGAGCCCTCAGGCCTGCACTTCCGCTGGTGGCAAATCTTCGGTGTGGGCTGTGGTATGCGCGCAAATTCGATGATACGTGCTACTTCAAATCCACCGATGGCCATACGGGGAATTGGGGCTTCAATCCTGCGCGGCTCAACATCCACATTGCCGCCATTGCTGGTAAGCGCTTCGTTTACTCGCTAAGAAAGAATCCACAGCTTATCTTTTTCTTCTTCGATCGTCCAGCGCGATCTGGAGGCTGCATGATCGTGGATTCGACCAGGAAAGGGAAAAGATTTCCCGACAGTATGTCCAAGACGATTCCAATATGGACATGCGTGATGAATCGAGGGATATCAATGCTGCTCGATCCGGACAAGCGCAAGAGCTGGGATTGCGAGCTCCATCTCCCTAGCTGGGTGTCCGAGACCGAGAAGTCGTGCATCCAAGCCCGGCTGGATCAATGGGTGGGAGTTTTGCTAGCGAGTGGAGCCGACTTGGCGGGCTTGGCAGCGTCACTCGAGAGGCCTCTCCGACCACTTTGGATATCTCAGCGATCACTGATATGGCTGGACGAGATCCCGGAGCCGGGCTCGCTGGACTTTACACCGGTGATCCTCGTCTCGGCATCCAGGCCGAGAGCTCTAGAGAGGTGTAGTGATTCGGAGGCAGGATGGAGCTACATTCCTGGCGCCGGTGATGACGAAGAGAGCTGGGCTCGAGGATTGACGCCAGGGATGTTTTGGAGCAATGCTCTGGACATCATCGATGCCGGCCCCGATGAATGCAACGCGAAGGTGGCGGAGGTTGTGAGGAGGGATGGGAGGCCTTGGAAAGTTTTGCAAGGGTGGGAGGGAAACGGGATTCATGGTGAGATAGCGAATGGAGATACAGGAATTCGATGGATTGGAAACACTGGTCTGGCGCTTGGTGCAAGTAAGTCAGATTTCATTGTTTCTCATTGTTTTGAATTTGCTCTTCCTTGTTCTTTGCTAGTTCAACCACAGGAACTCTTATCAATCAAGAATGTCTCCGTTATAGACTGCTCTGGACATCTTGATGTTTCATTCTTGGGCGAAGGCTATTTTCTTTCCCTAGACATTCAGGTAAAACAAATGGTTCTCTTGCAATGGTCACTAACTTACATTTTAAATTGCTCTGATAGGATTCTAAGTTTGATCGGTATTGTCTACAAAATAATCTTCCAGCCATTGTTGAGTTTGCAATAAGAAGTTTGGGTAAGAAAAGGAACCTCTTGGTTTGTTGCAGAAATGGTACTTATTTGATCTTGAGTTTTGGATCTCAATTTCTAATTTTTGATTTTCAACAGGAGGAAATATCAGTGTCTCAGTTTGTTTAGCAATCTTGATGGCTTGCTTTAATAAAGATGGTATGTGTTTCATTTTATTTTACTTCTAATTTATATCTGTCATTAGGAGTTTTCTCTTATGAAAATCTTGCAATTCAAGTTATGAAAGAGGACATTCGAGAAAAATTAGTTTACGTATCTGCCTATGTACCAAATGTTTATCCTTCTCGAGGTAATTTAAAACAGGTGTACAATTATTTTAAAAAAAGAAAAAATATATCATAAAGTGGCTACTTTTAATTTATTCGTAGTATTCGTCGAAGTCTAAAATCAGCAATCATGTCCACACTCTTGTTTGATGTCCCTGTGCTCTTGTGATCACAATCCCTGCTTCGTTTTTTGCCCTTCGAAAGATAAATTGATCCATGATCTAGACTGTGCATCTCTGAGAGCTTGCAGCATATTCTAATGCACTGCTATTTTCTAGATGCGGAGAGCGTGGATCGAACACGCGCCCTTCAGATCTTCAGTCTGACGCTCTCCCAACTGAGCTATCCCCGCTTAATCGGTTTTCAAACTACTTATTAATTTAAACCACTGAGTATGGTATTTAAAGAACTCTCGTGGTTTAAACGTTCTTTGCTCACCTCAACTCCAAAATCTACCGCTACCACTATACCAAATGTGAATCCCAATTCACTTTTACAGAGGATCCATCGTCTCGGTTTCCATCATCCTCTTTGTCGCAAAAATCGCCTTTGAGAGGAGGAGAAGAGCCACCGTTTTGGAGATCCAAGTTAAAGAGCGCTACGATCACGAGAATTAATCTACCTGTGGATAGCTCACAGTACCACCGGTTACTATAAGATTACCTGCTTAGCCATCGGCACCGCGGCATGCAATTAGAGATTGAGGGTTTTAATATAGGTTTCTGCTACATGGGCGATCTCTGGAAGAAGCTGCTGTCTAGCTGTTCATTGCTTTAACAACGTAATCCTTTTCTTCAGTGCAGGGACGCGATCCTTGATCACCAGCCTCGGCTTCTAGGCAGCTCACATGTGGCCTTCACAAACAAAATGATTGGCAATCATGCTTGTGCCAGACATCTTGGGTTTAGGCTTGCCAAACATCTGGAAAGGTACAGACTATGTTTGCAGTAATTTCGTCGACATTTTTTTGCATTGAGTGAATGCAGGTGTAAGCACTTGTTGAGTTTCTCCCTGTGTCACTGTTGGCATTCTGGCCAGCTGAAAGTCATGGCAGTGGCTGCACAAGCAGCCAGCCGCACCTTGCAAAGCTTCCAGGGGCTCCGAGTACATACAGGAGATGTACGAAGGTGCGATGCATATGACGATTACGTGCAGGTCCGAACTGTTCTTCAAGCAGCTCGCCAGAGATTTCCAACTTAGGTGGTTTTATTGTTCTTCGCGTTTTGTTTCTTCCTTTTTATCGGTATGAGAAGGTGGTGCAATTCTTGCGGTCGTTTACGGTCAGTGCAACAATGCTTTATGGCTCGCAACATCAGGTGAAGTGCAGTGTTGGACCGAAAAATGAATTGGACATATGCATTTGAGATGGTTTTGATGAGTAGTGGCTGCTGAAGGAGGCGATGGACATGGAATTGCAGGGCGGCTGAAATTGGTAAATCTTTCAGGATCGCTGTTGCCAAACTCTTGCCAGAAGTTATAATCTTCAGTTTTCTGAGTGTGAAGAAGATTCTACTAAACTAACATTTTTTGTCAGATTTAAATTTTTTTTTATAGTTACTTTGATTTAAAAATTGACAACAAGCTTCAAAATTGATCAGCAGCACAATTTAATATTCATGATATGAAACCTTTATTTGTTACACATTAAACAACATTAACCAGCACTAATTTCTCATAGCTGAGCCACTAGATCATTGACAAAGTGTAGATTATGTTCCTCTTGTAACCAAACCTTACAAGGATTTAACACCACTTAATCTTGCCTGACCAATCAAAATCCAAAAACATGACATCAAAGCAACCTTCTCCCTTTGAATGAAGTTTGATGTTAAAGAGCCTCATTGCAGATAACCAATAGAATGACCTTCTTACACTTAATGATTACTGTTAGAAACCACCTTCTTCAATTCCTAAATATGTCATTTCAACCAAAAGCCATCCCAAGGAATAATTTTGGCATTGAATCAAATGTCATGACTAAAAAAATGTTATATGACATGGATAGTTTGAGAGGCTAATGTCCATTCAAATATTTATTAAAAAAATGTCATTTGACAATGTCACCATAAATTTTATAAATTCAAATATTCTAGAATATACTTATAGAAATATACTTAATATATACCTATTAAGGATATTCTTCTATTAAATGCATGTTTACCCTAAAATCTCCCTAAGCCCTTTCTTTTTTGGATAAATGTAACTTTTCTAAAGTATGGTATAAAAGTGGACTCAAAGGAAGCTATAAATATTTTAAGTGAAATTTTTGAAGGTGGTATTTTTGAGGAATCAGGGAGAGAATTGGTGGAGAAGATTATAACTATTTTGAACAGTTATGAATTGCAACTCCTTCAAACTTTTTGAACCTTTGTCATTTCCAGATGATTACAAAAGCCAAATTTCTAGAACAGCTAAGTACTTACACAACTTACTTAAAAGGTTTGACTCACTTGTTGAGATTGACTTGGAAGTTTATGAGCAAGAGAAAAAAGGTTTATAGATGATTTACAGCTCTGTTGCAAAGATATGTCAACCTAAAAAGCTTATAAGGTTTGCATGTTACAACTAGATGGTGATGAAAGATAGGATTGGCTTGGGAAGTACCCTCAACTAATGAAGCTATGGCAAACAATTTTGGTTAAGCATAGTTGCTTGTGAATGAGGATTTTCCAGGTAAAATGCAATAAAAAATCAACTAAACCTTGAGACATTGGATGCACATATGTTTATCTTACTGGAAAGGCTTACAATGTCTTCTTTTGATTGGTCATGGGCATCTAGTGTTGCAATATTAGAGGATAAAATCAAAATGTCAATATTTTTTATGATAATATCATTGACATTTATATTTCAGTGGATACATGTTCATTTTTCTGAAATTATTCATTGATTTTTAGATCCCGTGAAATCTTTATGACAATAGTTTGCAAGGGAGGGCATTAAAAATCCATATGTATGCGAAGCAGGGAAATAAAGAATCCATCACGGTGTGATCAAGAGCCATCCACATCACTTTGAGGAGCGTGCAAGACCCATGGTGCATCAAGGAGAAGCTGCACTTGACACTCAAAAGAGAGGCAATGCAAATAAGGACTGCCTACATTAGGTTCTTTACAATCCAAATGTGAAGTTCCAAAAACCTTAATGTAAGGAATTTGGCAATATGAAGGCCGGAAAAGGGGATGTTGTAAATAGTATATAAATGTGTTTTTGTTTGCCCTTGCACAACCTTTTATTAATGCGCCACTCAGCATTCGGTCACGACGGTTAGGGAGGGCCCATAGTGGAATAAAAAATCAATCATGGGGCACTCGCAGGGTGTAAAAGCCATGGCAGTGGTTCTTCTTACACAGAGTACCTCCTAGTGAGCTCTACTGAGCTTGGCAACTTTGTTAGGCTCCAAAAGGTAAACCAACCTCCCCTCAAGCTGTCACAGCAACTTGAGGGTCATAGTCCTTGGAGAAGAGTCTAATTGCTCTTAAAGTCGTTGCTAACTTTTTTATCTCATGCTCCGGCGCACATTGGCTCGGCTGCCACCTTCTCTGTTTTTCAATCCATTGCAACCGCAATGACTTGTATATAGGGGCGGGCCACCAAAATTAACAGGCCAGCTGAGTGTTGTGTTCTAGGCCCTGCAGGAAGCCCGCAGCAGCTTGTGCTCAAACAAAACCATCATTCGCTCCACCACTCCATCTGTCCAGCCCTCGTAAATGCCCCAGGTAGTTGGTGAAAAGCATATTAAGCTGAGGTGTCATCTCGTTAATTTTATCGTCATAGCGTATGCTGCACCATTCCCACAGCTTGTAGGCAATATTCATGTCTTCAGAGTCCGCATGCATCGGAAGTCCGTTCTGAACTGGCACAGGAATTCCTCTTTCTTAGCCCTTTGCTTGTCACCTTCCAAAAGCTCTTTAAATCGATTCTGATCGACATACTGGGCTACAATCTTGAGCTTTCCGGGAGAGACCTTCAAAGCCGCTGCTGCAACCGCTAAACTCTTCGAGGCTCTTGATGGTTAGATTCATTTAAGTAAGGACCTAAAAAAGAAAAGATTTTTTGGATTAGCCTTTTTCTTATTGTTAGATATGGCATGAGTTCTCAAAGTTCAGCAACAAATCCTTGACTCAATAGTCACATTGATCATTGATCAACGTGTCTGCAAAACTCAGTGACGTGAAGAAAAGAAGAATTCTTTTGCTCTCGCCCAAACTCTCAGGTGGTGTTCCTTCACAAACTCTTTCACCTGCATTCAGTGAAACTAGTTTAAATCCTCACAGAAACTTGAAATAGAGAGTATAGCATACACAGTTTCAATGACAAGCTCTACTGCCATTCTAGCTACTCTTGTTACTCTTAACCATTGTTTTGTAGACAGTAGCCACTTCCTTCAACGTTGTCTGTTGCGGGTGCTTGCAGAGTGGGAGATGATTGGTTTCATTCGAGCTGACACAAAATGCTCCATCCATACATCACTTTGTATCTGCATCACTCTCGCCCCGGCACATCTCGTGGACTAAGTCTTCCATATCTCTGGGAGGGAAATATCGGCACTGAAACTCCCGGCCTCCAGGCGGAGTTCTTACTATAGCAGTCCAAGTGGCACCCTCGGTAGAGTTTTGCTTCTCTATCCCTCGTGATCTTATAGAAGGGGATGGTTGATGATTCCAGGAGTACATCTTAGCGGATTTACACGGGGAGTACGTTCCTCCCCACGAAACTCTGGATTTGGTCTGATGGAGCGGTTTGGCTGTATTCATCTGATTCAATCTTGCAGCAGTCTCTCAGTCTTCAACAAAACTATCCGACCATTTCTCCCACATCCGACTTGTTTGTCTCAAGATATCTTTCTCTCCAACACACTCATCCAAATGTATGCGCGGCTTGGAAGCGTCACAGACGCTCGCAGTGTGTTTGAAAGCATCTTCCCATCCAGCAGAAGGAACTCACACACTTGGGTGTTTATGATCACTGCCTATGCTCGTAGCGGCCATGTCCGTGAGGCACTGGAGCTTTTACTCGCGATGCCATGTAGAAACCAGGTCGCTTGGAACGTAGTCCTTGCGGCTCTTTGCAGCGGGGAAGATCTTCACTATGCCAAGCAATTCTTTGATCAAATGCAGAGGGATCACGTCTCGTCAACAACAATGCTCGCAGCATATGCCCATAGAGGGTATCTGGTCCATGCTAAAGAGCTATTTGACTCCATGGTTGAACACAGCCTTGTATCCTCAACGACAATGCTTACGGCTTATCAAAACAGCTCTCAATTCGATGGAGCAAAATGTGTTTTTGATTCGATGCCAGTTTTGGATCTAGTGTCCGCAACTGCTATGATAAATGCGCTTGCCAAGAACGGGCATCTTGATCAAGCACTGGACATTTTTAATCAGCTCCCGGAACGGAACCTCGTCTGCTGGAACGCATTCCTCTCGGGATGCATAACGAATGGCTGCTTCGAACGCGCAAAACGAAGTTTTTACCACGAGATGCCGCAGAGAGATCTAGCGTCCTGGAACACAATGCTAACTGGAGCTGACGAGGAGAGAGCCCAAGAACAGGAACACATTTTTTTCGGGTTCCCGGAATACAATATGCTGTCATTCAACACCATTCTCGCAAACGCAGCTCGCCACCAAAGAGAATCTATCGAAGCAATTGAGTTAAGCTTCCACAGCATGGTCGCACGGGATCTCGTTTCCTACAACATTTTTCTCTCTGCCTGTTCTTTGCAAGTAGAAATGGCGAGGGCCGTCTATGAAAGAATGCCTGAGCACGATCTTGTCTCGGACAACACAATGCTATCAGCATATGCCTTGACGAGGGATGTGCGGCAAGCTCAAGACCTGTTTTTTTCAATGCCACAGATCAATCAAATATCAAAATTCATAATGATAGATCTATATTCAATAACCCAAAACTTGGACGAGGCATGCTGTCTACTTTTTGACAACTTCATGTGTGATCACGGAATGGCAACCGTTATTCTTACCGCTTATGCCAATCTCGGGCATATTGACTCAATGATGCAGTTTTACAAAAGGCTTCCAGTCGTAAGCTTAGCAACAGAAATTGTTCTTATCCATGCGTACGCACAAAGTGGCTACACAGAGAAAGCAGAATATATCTATTTTGTGTTGCCTTATTCCAATACAGTCTCAAGGAACGCTATGCTAGCAGCATATGCCGTTAATGGGCGTCTTGTAAGAGCCCAGACTTTTCTTGCACAAATGCCCGAAACAGATCTCTTGTCGTGGTCCACGCTGCTGGACGCATATGCTCGGCACGGGAAGTCGATCCAGTGCCTAGAACTTTTTGACTCCATGAAGATGATGGATCACGCTCCGGACGAGGCCTGCTTCGCGTTGGTGCTAGCGGCTTGCAGCCGCGCCGGGAAGCTGCAAGCTGGGAGGAGGGCGTTCGTGTCTTTGGCACAGGATTACCACTTGCAGCCCGGAAAGAAGCATTACACTTGCATGGTGGATCTCTTGTCTCGCTCCAACCATGTTGATCACGCTCACGAGCTTATCCTCAGCATGCCTTTTGCTCCCGACACAATAGATTGGAGATGCTTGCACTTACCTTTGTCGGCCCCGGCATTTGCAACTTAGCAGTGTCCAGATTCTCTGTAAAAACGTTGGCAAAAGGCATTTGGAATGTGTTCTAAAAGTGTAGATGCGATATCTCAGCGAATCATCTCCCACATTTTAGCTCTACAACTTTACTACCAAGAATTTACACGAGATGCGAGAACTAGACCTTCGACGCGAGCCAAACAGACACACACACAAAAAAAAAAAAGAGAGAAAATGGGGTCGCCGCCTTTTCGCTTAGAAATCTGCGCTGGCGGGGTGTATAGAGTCCCCATTTCCCGTTTTGCTGCGAGGTCGCGACGAGGCCTTCGTGATTGGGAAAGGCCAACAAGACGAGCCCGGGAGTATCCCTCTCCTGCATTCAAAACAACAAAGAATTCTTGACTCCCCAACCTTGTCAGACCTTAAATTCTCATACCTCTTGGTGGGCGCCGAGCCTTCTTGGCTATGGCTGCTACTGAAGCATCCTTGGCCGCACTTTGACGTGCATGTCGCCCGCTTCACACACCTGTTGCAATACAATCGACTGCACACCTGGAAAGGAAAACGAAGAAGGTGAGTGCCACCAAAGTCCTCTGCTCGAAAGATCGATCTTTGCAGTGATCGTCCCGAGAAATCCAAACTAGAGAAGCGTTTCTCGCAGTACCTGGCACTTGGTCTTGAAGAAGATGACATGGGCGGAGCAAGAGCTACACTTGCTATGGACGCCATGATCGAAGCTGAGAGCCGGGAGGATTGGCTTCACTTGCGGCTCCTTGTGGATTCTCCACACGGGCGAGCCTGGCAGCGACTTAATCCCTCTCCTGGGCGACAGCGGCGGCGAGGGCCTGGGGGAAACCTTCCTTGGCGAGATGTGCTTCACCGACACGGGCAGAGGAGGAGGAGGAGCAGCGTCGATCCTAGCGCTGATCACCCCCCTGGTGGTGGCGGCGCCGCTGGTGGAGCGCGGCGGCGAGGAGGTGACCGAGAAGAAGAATGCGGTGGCGGAGCCAAACGCCGCCACGTCCGGGGGGAGACCCTCTTGGCGCTGCTCCACGGGGAGGCCCCCGGACAGGGGGATCGTCGGGTGCTCCACCAGATCTCGCAAGGACAGATCGTGGGCGCTCTCCGGGAGCTGCTCGTACAGCCTGTTTAGCTCCGCTTTGCCCTGCTCGATCGCCTCCCTCCTGCTCCTGGGCGACAACATCTCTCGCACCTGGAAGATCTCTTACCGCCGGAGATCCCTGTCTGTGACCTGTCTAGAAAGAAACTCTAGCCCCTTCATTCTGTGGGCACGCCATAGCTCAAAACTCGGGATTTGGCTTTAACTAACTTGGCACTCGCCATTTTCTCGCGCCTTCGTTCATCCAGCGCCACGTTTCTCCGTCCGGGGCCCGGCGAGAGCCAACTGTGTGGTCTTGTTTCCATGCCAGGCCCACACGCCGCCGATTTGTCATGGTGAATGGCCAAAGTATATTTCTTCCATCGCCATCTCGCCTCCTTTCTTCCAAAATTTTCGCCACCATCTTCCTGGGGCACTAATGGGCACCTTCGTCTAAAGCTTTCTAGAAGACTGGGAAGTCTTGGGCTTGATTACTTAGTGGGAAAGAGAAACAGGCTTGGGAAGTCAAAAGCACTGTAGCCCTCTGGTTTCTTGCTGTGTCTCCTCCCTGGGCCTACGGCCGGAAGAATCTGTCAACCGCATTTCTAATAAGCGGTTGCCGTTCGCATGGCTGTGTTCCAACTGGAGATATTCGACCTTAAGACTCGGAGAAAAAAGTAAAGAAAAAAACGACACTGCTTCTCCAGCCTAGCCGAAGAATTGCAAGGATACAGCTATGTTTTCACGAAGCTCGGCATTCTCTCCAGTGCATAGAGAGTTGATCCTGGATAGCATCGCTGGAACCGTGATGACGATGATCGCCAAAAACCATCGCTCTTTCTGCCGCATCGCTGCTCTTGCTGCTACTGCTCGCCAATGCCGCCGGTCCAGATTCAGCACTAGCACAGGCCCTGAGAACCACAACGTTGGCTTCGAGCATCTGGTAGAATCTTATGCTTTGCTTGCATGCGGTCAAGAGCATCCTGAGGCCGAGGGTTTAGTGTTGGAGGTTTACGCTTGCCAGATCCACGTTGGCTAGAGTCGTAGATATATGTATATAGCTAGCTGATATATCATAGCCACATTGTCTACACTACGCTTCCGCGAAATACTTGCTATGTTTTGACAGAGCTCAAGGAGTTGATTCTCCGTATCGAAAAGATCGATCAACAAGGTGGTGTCTTCATTATCTGCGTGATATATGGGGACGAGACTGGTAAACACTGCCTACTGCTGCATCAGCTTTTCAAGCATGTAGCTTGCACAGCTTTTGTGATGACACTCGAAGGTACGTATACAAATACACATTCCCTCCCTCCATCCACCACCACCCCAGAATGGGCCTGCAAATCTCCAAAGCTGAAACCAAGTGGCAGCAAGTGTGATTTTGTGTGTGCAACAAGGTGAAAAGCTTGTTCAAAACTCAGGCGGAGAAATCAGTCAAAAAAGACTTCCATGTTGGTGTTGTTGTTGCAGGCAGGCAAGCCCCGCCGCCACGTGGCGCAGGCCGGCTGTACGAACGCACTATAAAGCTCCCCCGAGAGAGAGAGAGTGTTGTCCCGTCAACCACAGCTCTCATTTTTCCATGAGCTAATCCAAAGTATCACCTCAGATCTTTTCCTTTCTCTCTTATCATCGTGGGGGTTGTGTGGCTAATCTGGCTCTGGCGGCTCTCTGGCCGTTCGTGTTTTTGCGGTGCTGCACTTTTGCGCGACCTTTTGCTTTGCCTGTTTCAGAGATTCGCACGGCTTTTTAATTTTGTGCTGGCGGGTTTTCCTTGTCTCTTGCCTGGCTCGCTCTTGCCGCTGCTGCCGCTGCTCGCTTTTCACTTCACATCGAGCCCAGCAGCCAGCGAGAAAAGAGAGAGAGAGTGAGCAAGAAAGGAGAGTGAGGGAGAGTGAGAGAGAGAGAGAGAGTGAATGGGATTTTGACATATTGGGTCTTCTCATTCCAGAGGGATGGGTTCTCACCGACGCCGACGCGGACACCGACGACGACGACGCGCGGGCGAGCCAGAGAGGAGATTGTTAGCGTGTGATAGACAATGTTGGTGCTGCTGCTGCCTGCAATCCATCTACAATCTATCCAATTCTCTCTTCGTCCTTGAGGTACGTTCCTCCTTTCATGCTCCTGACTGCTTTCAATGCTTGCATTCCAGAAATCTAGGCAGAAATCTGGGCAGGAGGGAGGAATGAATGATCCAAAAACCTGCGCTCTTTTCAGCGATGGCGTGGGGCCTGGAAACAAATACGTTTAGATTTTTTCTCGTTGTGTGTGTGTTTTTGTTCGCGGGAGCTTCCTTTAGTTCAACTCAGGTGGAGCTGGAGATGGTCCTGCTGCCGACTCATGCATCCGCGTACCTTGGAAAGTTACAATGCCAGTTTCAGAAAGAGAGCTTCTTTTGTCCAGTGGTAGACGCTTGCATGATGCGGGAGCTGGTTCTCTCTCGAGCTTTGATCGACCTGCCTTGGACTGAAGGGAGCTCCCTTGTTCCCACAAAACACTCCACTCGCGCGAAAATGACTTGGACACCCAAAGCAGCCTCTGCTGATCTCCTTCCGCTTGAGTGTTCCTCAGGATTTTGCGAGAGATGATAATATCTTAGGCTATATATCTTCAGAGAGAAATAATAAATATGTTACACCAGTACTTGCAAACTGAGAATCCCCGCAAGTCCAACACGGAACAACAGTTTTCTTTCCTCTCTTTTTCCGATTTTATTTTTAAATTTTAAATTTCTTTTCTCTAGATTTGACTCGTTAAGAAAATCCACTTCCCAGTCGTGCAGCTGCAACTGCTGCTGCTGCCGCTGTTGCACACAACAACATCCTTTTCAAAACTAGAGTATAATTTTCCAAGCACACATCACCAGAAGTCGAGTCACACTTTTCAAAACTAGAGTATAATTTTCCATGAATTTCTGGCTTTGTTTTTTTGCATTAGAAGAATCAGAGAGTGAGAGCTACTACAGCGGCAGCATCAGTGTTTGGAAATATATGTTACAAAGAACCTCCGCTCTTGACCGGGACGTAAAAACAGCACCAAAACAAATAAGAAAACGAAGGGAAAAAAAAAAAAAAAAAACAAAAGAAGGAAAGAATCGAAGGAAAAAAACAACCAGAAGACGGACAAATGGTGGTGGTGATGAAGTGGAGAAGATGAAGAAGATAGAATACAACCCTTTGGTCTTGTAGAAATACACCCCGAAACTGTAAGCTGAAGGAATGCAAAACCCACGAACGTCAGCAAGGCAACAAAACCAGCACTCAACTTTTCTTTTCCCAAGTGTTCTTCTGCTCCTCTCTGTTTGTGTGTGTGTGTGTTCGACTGTTTGTGTTTGTGTAGGCCTATGTGTTCTTCGTCTCGTCTCGTCTCGTCTCGTGGAACTCACGACGAGATTGGCTCGTAAGGATACGAGAGCCACGGATGCTTGAGTGCCTCGGCCGCGCTGGGACGGTTCTTGGGATTAATCTGGAGAAGGAACGCCACAAACTCGAGGAACCCCTGGTCACCCATGGGCAGACGATGTGCCAGCGTCGTTTTCTTGGGAATTAAGTACTCCATGCGGCTAGTCTCCTGTTTTGTCTCGTTAACCAAAACCACAAAGCTGGACACTGCACTTTACCTGGTTGCGCTCATACAGCTTGCCGTTCTTCGTCAAGAATTTGTAAGATTCGCGTCCTCTGGCCACCATCTCAGGATCTAGAGGGCCAATAATGCCGACAACGCGGGCGAGCAGCGTTGCCAGGGAGTCATTCTGGAATAGTACCTGTAAACACACGAGAACGAACGTTAGCATGGCATGGTTTCAGCATCACAAATACTCACATTTCCTGAGCAAAGCTCCGCTAGAATACACCCCAGGGACCAAATGTCAATCTTCTGGTCGTAGGGAAGGCCCAGTATAACTTCTGGCGCTCGATAAGATCGGGATTGCACGTAAGAGCACAGGTGGTCGCTTTGAAAGCAGCTGCTCCCGAGATCAATCACCTTCACTTCGCACCGGCTGTAGCTCTTTACTAGTATGTTCTCCGGCTTCAAATCGCAATGTATCAATCCAAGGCCATGCAAGAACTCCAGTGCCTCCAAACACTGGCGAGTAATAGACTGCAAAGTTTCGAGTGTTAAGAATAAAATCCACCTGTGAGCTAGAACACTTCCTACCTGCAATCTAGGCATCGTGAAATAGACCTCCCCTCCCGAATCTCGGTTGTACTTGTGAAACTCATACAGATTAGCTCGTAGTAGCTCACATACGATAAATAGGTGTTCCTGAAAAGTTTGGTTTCAGTACCGACAGTGAGAATTGCACAAAACGTCTTACCCGATGATAGAAGTAATCATATAACCGTAGAATATGGTACTTGTCCGCCGGATCGTGTTTGTTGATGTACTTCAGCAGCTTGATCTCGTCAAGGCTTTGATCAAAGAAATCCTTGTTATTCTTGATGATCTTCATACAAACATCCATGCCAGTGAAGAGGTCATGCGCCTGGATGGCCTTGCTGAAAGCTGCGGCTCCAAGGAACTCCGTAACATGATAGCGACCAGCGATTACCGAGTTGATCAGAACCTGGAAATCCTTATCTTCCTCGAATCCAGTTCTAAAAACCAAACGAAAGAAGCAGCGTCAGTGGCGTGAATGAAAGCACAAACCGTGCAGTACCTGTTTTTCCTGTGAATAATTTTCAAGTCAAAGGTCTCAAACTCCTCCTCTTCAGCTTGCAAGCGATGAAAATGCTCATGAACAGCTATTGCTTCTTCGTCATACGCGGCTGCAGCCTCAGTCTCGTCCCTCTGTGCATCCACATCCTCGTCATCAACTCGCTCTTCTTCAACACTGAGGGAGTCCTCGGTAGAGCCAGGTGACACAGTTGAGTGTGTCGACAAAGCCAGACGGAGCTCGTGATCCTCCCCGCCGCTAATAATCGGAGATGACTCGTTGCTTTTGCGTTTCCAAGAGGCTAGCGTGTCATCTGGACCAACGAAGCCGTTAGCAAATTGATCTACCTCCTCACCCCGAGACGATATTTCTCTTGTTGACCACAAGGACCTCCCGGACTCTGCTCTAGAACCATCAACATCGCCAGCACTTGATGGAGACGGAAAAGAAAAGCCGCCGAACTGAAAGGCACCGAGCTGCTCTTCCGCGAGCTGCGTCTCAACGCTGCCGTTTCTGTCTACCTCCTCACATCCATTTGCCTGTGCTTTGTGACCCCACGGCCTGTTGTAATACTGGAGAACAATGTCATGTTCTTCTTCCGCGGAGCTTGGTCCTCCCTGTTTGAAACATTGCTGGCGGCGTTTCTCCACGTCCAAGAAACCGTTGCGTCCTTGAAAGTCACAATCCTGTAGACTTCCGACTTCCCCGTCACTACTTTCGGCAAGGTACGTTTCTCGAATTTCCCGGCTAAAGTCATCCTGGTCATTGGCAGTTGTAGCAGCCTGATCCTTCCTTATCGCATTCCCTTGAACAACAAAACCTTGCCAAGCTGGCTCGGACCGAATCTGCTTCAGCTCTTCTGAATCTAGCAGCTGACCATCGTAGTCGTTGGCATGCGGCCTAAAAGAAAGCTCATCAGCTGCACCGCATAAGGCGTCGACATCTGCGTCACCGTTGTTATCTCTGGCGTCTCTTCCTCTGTAGTATTCCTCTCCAGAAAAGTAAGACTCCACATAAGAACGGTCATCGTCATCATATTTCCCATAAGTTGTACCTTGCTGGGCAGGGTTATGTTCTATTCGTGCTCTTTCCTCTTCACTGGGATAATTGATCTCACTTGCCAGAAATTCTTTCTCGTCGTCAATGGGCCGTCGTGTGTACCCAGGATCGTCATCGTCTTCGTAGGCGTCAGAATCCCAATACTCATCCGGATACTCAGCAGCCGACCCGTCACCTGCGTTTGCAAACGATGCTGATGGATCTTCCACAATGCCATGGCTAACAGATGGTCTGTTAATAGCAGCACAGCGTTTGGTACCTGCATGTCGTGGTGTTAGAGCTAGATCGTGTGTGGAAATAACTGCGAGCTTACCCGACGACAAAATGTCTTGGCCAACAGGAACGTCAAGAAAAGATCCAAGTGCAAAAGAAGATGCGTCCAGCGGGTCCATCTCTACGTCAGCGTCAGACCCTACTCGACAGTGTGCAACCCATTCGTCTGGTATCTTCTCCACGGATTTCAGCCTCACCGGAGGAAGCCTAGGAAACCCGCTTGATCTCTCAGAACCATCACCAGAACCTCTTGCTTTATCTTGTCCTCCTTTCTGGTTTGAAGAGTTTGCTGATGATGTCGGCCGCGACGCAAGACAACTTTCTTCCGGTTTACCGTCTTCTGCTGCTTCTTTTCTAGTGGATCGGATGTTAGACACCTGTGGTTCATCGGTACTCTCCGGACCACTCCGTTCGCTCCTGGCCTCCATCGACTTATGACGAGCAGCTCCCTTGTGCTTCTGATCGTTGTGCGTCTGCGAGCTCTTCCTTCCCTGCGAAAACCCCAGCTCGTCTAGCGGATGAACCTTTCCCAGCTGCGGACCCTGCTTTGTCCCGGGCACCCAAAGCAGCTCATCTTTCTGTTCCCAGAATCCCTCGTTCGACGACTCCAAGCTCGACTCTCCCACCACCTTGACCTTTGCAGCATTCTCAGTGCCGGCACTGCCGGTAGCACGACGCTTGTCCTCTGCTACCTCAAGTTCCGGACCAGCTTGCACAGAAGCACTCGTGGTCTGCTCAGTCGACTTTGGCACGCCCATGTAGTACTTAACCAGCGTAGAGTTCCTTTGGCAGTCCGCAACCTCGGAAACCAGCAGCTTTTCATTCTGGACGTCGCTTGGCACGGAAGCATCCTCGGCAAGCTCTTTGGCGGGCACCTTGTTACTCTGGACGCCAAGATCAACGTCGATGGAGAAGAGGCCATTCGAGACTTCACGGCCGGCGAGCTCCGCCTTAAGAGCAGCTTCCGCCTGTAAGAAGTGGTGCTGCCGGAGATAGTCCAAGATGGAGCCGACCGTGTCGGCCATTGCAGCTCCTTCCCACTCAACTAGACCAATGCCCTATAATCAACAGCCTCATAGCCACGCTACTTCTTGAAAGGAGCTCCCCTAACTGGATCGTTTACCCTACCCAGCCGGCTCTTCTTCCCGATCACTCCCCCTCAATCCCAGCCCAGGCGATACTACTCCCGGCAGCAAGCTCTCGCTCCTCCTGGCAGCTGCATTCCTCTTTCACGGCCTTACCTCCGCCGCATTTCCCTGTTCCATTGCCGCCGGAAGATCAAGCCAACCTCGAATCCAGCCCTAGCTCTCCGGAAACTCCCACCACGCCTCTAACCCTAGCGCTCCCTTGCCACGCCGCAAGACGCCATAGCCCGCTCCTCTCTGGTCCTAGGTATTGGGGGGAAACGAAAATAAAAGAATAAAAGGGAAGAAAACGCAAAGATTAAAAAAACTTTTGCTCGTCCCCGGATTCGAACACCCGCCCTAAATAAACTTTTGGTCGCCCGGAATCGAACCCCCACCCTTTGAAGACGTTCGCCTTAGAACTAAAACGATGGTCTTCTCGCGATGGCGTCGAGGTCGCGCTGCGTTGGAAAATCCTTGTAGGGGTAGTAGACCTCTTGCGGATCATCGTAGAGCACCACGAAACTCATGAGCTTGTAGTTGATCTCGACGTGGAAGCACTTGCGGGGCTTGATCGCTACGCGCTGCGCAGTGCCTCGCTTCTTAACGTTGCCGCCACCGCGACCCCGGCCTCTACCTCGGCCCCCGCCTCTCATCCCACCTCGGATCCCCCCGGCACCTCGGCCTCTACCTCGGCCCTGCGTGTCACCCGCGGCTCCGCCTTGCCTGGGCTGCCCGAGCACCCAGCTGAGAGCGCTGTCCGCCGCGCTCTTCTCGGCCTCGTCCTGTGTCTCGCACGGCGAGCTCGCGAAGCGCTTGCCCCGGATCACCACCGTCCCCACGAACTTGTTCTTGTAGCCGGCCGAGACGCTGTAGCGAGGAGCCTGGTAGCCGGCTTTCAAGTACATTGCTCCCAGCAGCGTCTTGGGATCTAGCTCGCGAACTTTGCTGTACAAGTAGAGTGCTACATCGTCTTGTATGCTCTGTCAATCCACAAACAAGGTAAGCCACTGGTTCCAGAAAATTTGAGAAGTACCACACCATATCTTTCTCGATCAGATCCAGAATCACGTCCCTCTCATCTCTTCCTCCTCCCGTTCCAGCCTAGAAACGAGGCGGGCATAAGTTGACGTGAGAAGTGAGAAAAGAAAGACCTTACTCCTTCATCGTCGCCACCGGGAGGCTCGTCGGCATAGCCTCGGTATTGCGTCCTCGCCCAGCCACCCCGACCCCAATTCTCACGCCTAGACGAAGAATGCCACCCATTCTCCGACGCAAATCCACAGATCCCACGCTCCTGCTGCTGCCTGATTAGCGGCGCACTGCCGATATCATCGCTCCATCCATAGCGCTCCTCCAATCCACAACAGCTGCCGGGCGAATTCGTGCTCGCATTTCCACTCGCATTCCACCAATCTAGCCCGGCGCGAGCTCCAAGAACACACCGGCGTCCGCGAAATCGAGAGAGCCTCAGCATTGCATTGCCTACGCTACCTGGCCTCACCTAGGCGATCTCCATCCTCGCCACAAACCCTAATATCTCCCAGGACGCAAAAACCCCAGGTGAGAGAACCCTAGGCCATTCGATCAAGAACAGTATCAATGACAGCCGTTGGATCAAGAACAGTTTAAACAATCCCCACTCTCTCTCTCTCTCACGGCCCATACCAGAACCTCGACAGTTTCCTCAACAGTCGATCGTCCTTCTTGCCGATCAATGCGTCCAATTTGGCCTCGCAGCGATTCACCGCGCTGGCGATGCTCCTCTCGTCCTCGCGCAGCGCATCGGCGATGATGCTCTTGAGGCTGGCAAGCTCCTCCGATCGCTTGCGCGCGTACCACTGCTCCATCTCCTCGCGGCACATAAGCCCAGCAATCTCCGTGGCGCCGCCCTTGGGCAGCTTTAGCAGATTGTTGAGCCCCTCCACCTCGATCCGCAAGCTTTCCTTGAGCTCCAGCAGCCGGAGCAATCGCTTGGAGGCCGCCTCCGGGTCGAATTCCTTGTTGCTCTTGTTGTGCAGGCTCTTTTTCGCGAGCTTTCCGGGCTTTCGCAAAACCTTGGCCGACGCTGGTGGAGGAGGACAAAAAGCTAAGAGTTTCACCCGCGGGCGAAGCAAATTACCGGCCTCCAGGAGCGCGCTCGAGTGGAAGCTCCGCGCGCAATGCCTGTGAAAAGCCGCCATAGCCATGAAGAACAACAAGAAAGACGGAAGTTAGGTTAAAGTGAGCCTATTTTATGAATTAGGCTCAAAACAAATGCCCAAGAATGGCATTGTTTAAACTAGACACTAAATACCCATCATAGGCATCTGCTGCATAGCAAGTTAATCAATCAAATACCATGACTAATAAGGAAATCTCAATCGTTATCTGCCAATGCCATTGTCAGCCGTTAAAGTGTGAGACGATTTAGGGTAAATAGGTGCAACAGAATGTCCAAAGAAGTCATGTTTTGCAACAAACAATACTTGGAAGTAAATGCCCAACGCCGGCATTTGCTACAAAGTCACCAAATCAATCAAATGCCACGACTGGGACGGGGTATCTGTCAATGCAGTCGCTCCAGGCGCCGGGTCCGCGCGGCTCCACGTCCCGGAGCGCGACCCACACCGCGCTGTTACACTTGAATCCCGATCCAAACGCGATCTGCCACACGCGGTGGCCGCGCCGTACCCGCCCCTTGGCCTCGGCGTACCCGAGCTCGTACCACAGCGAGCTGCTGGACGTGTTCCCGAACCGATGCAGCGTTATGCGCGACGGCTCCAGGTGCCTGGCCGAGAGCCCGAGGTTGTGCTGGATCGCGTCCAGCACCGCGCGGCCGCCGGCGTGGATGCAAAAGTGCTCCACCGCCAGCTTGAAGTCGGGGATGTATGGCTTGATCTTGCGATTGCCCAAGAGCTTGCGCGCGACGAGGGTGGCGAAGAAGCACAGCTGCTCGGACACGGGCAGGATGAGCGGACCCAGCGTCGTGATGTTGGTCTTGAGCGCGTCGCCGGCCTGGGCCATGAGATCCTTGGAGAGGTTGACGCCGATCGTCCCGGAGGAATCCTCGTCCTGGAACACGCACTGGTAGCTCTCGTCGCTGGCGCCCTTGTGCGTTCTCACCGCGTGGACGAGCTCGTACTTGGGCTTGATCCTCCGCGAGGAGGTGGCGAGGAGGAGCGCGGCGCCGCCCATCCGGAAGATGCAATTGGGTAGGAGCTTGGCGCGATCGTTGCCGTGGTACCAGTTGAGCGTGCAGCTCTCGGTGCTCACCACCATGGCCAGCGTCTCCGGGTGGACCTGGAGGAGATCCCGCGCCAGCGCCACCGCGATCACGCCCGCGCTGCAACCCATCCCACCCAGGTTGTAGCTCTGGATGTTGCCGCGCATCCCAAACCGGCGCACGATCGCGGCGGACAGCGATGGCGTCGGCACGAAGAGGCTGCAATTCACGATCAGGATGCCCACCTCCTTGGCCTTGATCTGCGTCTTGTCCAGCAGCTCCTCCACCGCGGAGAACATCACCATCTCCGTCTCCTCGCGCGCCAGCGCCATGCTCCCGCGCGGCTCCGCCATGAACACCACCGGCGGGAGGTACGTCTCGTCCCCCAGCCCGGATCGATCCACGATCTTGCGCTGGAAGTCGATGCTCTCCTGGGTGAATCGCCCCGTGCTGCGCGACGCCTGGATGAATCGATCCCTGGAGCACTTAAGCTCGTCGGGGGGCTTGTAGCAGGCGAAGTCGATGAGATAGACGGGCGTGGGGCGGGAGAAGGCGTAGAGCGTGGCGGCGAACACCATCGCCGCGGTGCACGCCAGGAGATTGGCGAGGTGGTAGTGGAGCGCCTCGCACAGCCGGTGGAGATCGTGGCGGCCCAGGCCCAGCGACGCGATGGCCACGAACAGGACTGGCAGCGCTACGAACCACACGAAATGCCGGCTCGCGTCCCAGTAGCCGAGCTTCACGTACTTGAGCTTCACCGACGTGAGCCACGAGATCTTCTTCTTCTCGCGCTCCTCCTTGATCTGGAGATTGAGATCGTGCTGATCCATTGCCGTGCCTATCTCGATTCGCGGATCGCTCCTAAACCAGGGGAGCAACCATCATCGCCGCAATCAAACAGCCCTAAATCTCTGCAAACACGTTGAGCACGGCAATGGAATTTGTTCTTGACAAGAACATGAATGCCGGCCTCCACCAAACATTTTCTCCCATGAATGCGGATCAGACAAGCTCGGTCCTTCATTGGTCCTTCATTAGCCCTAAATTCTAAAGAATATACTTGTTGTATTGCCACGGAAAGAATATGCTACACGCCGTACAACGGCATCCCCATTTTTACGAAGAAGTACACTAGAGCTCCCGTGAACATGTAGCTATCCACACGGTCGAGAATTCCACCTGTGTAGGCATAGCGATCAGCAAAAAAAAAATAGGTCACTAGCCTATAAGATTCTTACCATGGCCTGGAATGAGCCTTCCGGAATCTTTCACGCCAGCGTCGCGTTTGATCATCGACTCTGTGAGATCACCAAAAAGAGATGCCATGAAGACGAGCACCGCCAACACTACTGCGCTGCAGACGCACACCAAAAGAAGAAGAAGAAGTTTAGAGAACTTTTAAACGCGAAGCTTACTTGAGAATCGATGATGGCCATTGTAGCAACTTCGAGAGCAAGATGGTGATTGCAATCGCCGAAGTCAAGCCAACAGCGGCTCCCTCGAACGTCTTCTTGGGACTCACGTCACTCAGCGGAGTTCTTCCGAGAAGCTGTTCACGGAAGAATCAAGAATAAAAGCGATTCTAACGAAACTTCCAACCTTGCCACCGAGAAAGGCTCCCGTATCAGCAGCAATAACACCACAGAAGGACACGAAAGTTGCAATGAGACCAACTGTCCAGTGCGCTCGGCCACCGAGTAGAACCGGCCAGCAAACCGCGAGCTCTGCACTAACACCGGATAGCTAAGACGAGAAAACGCAAAGAAGAAAGAAAACGTGAACTTACTTGTTTGAAGAGCAGGGACTGCCAAAGCTCGTAGCTTCACCCAGAAGGTCGGCAAGTAACCACAGTAGAAAATTCCAAAGAATCCACTGCTGAGCTGAGAGAAGCGTGGACTCCCCCGTTGGAGTAGTAGTGTGGTTGCCAGAAAGAACGCTGCGGTGGTCACGGACACTCCCATGCGTCCCCCAAAGTATCTATGAGATGCACACGGTTCCACCTGTGAATTACATATATAAAACTGATGCTTACGATCGCTCAGCTTATAGACAATCTAAATCCGTAAGAAGGATTCAAAGAACACGAAAGAAGCTTGAAAGTAAGAAAACTTACAGTGTCATCAGAGGCATTGCTGCGCAGAAGGCCGAGCACATATGGATCACGAACATTGGTGGCGGCGCTGTTCCTTGGCTTATGCCTTTGCTTCTCACGAGCTCGAAGTATTCCCTTGTCCCGAGCAGTATAGCGCATGACACCGCAGAAGCGAAGAGCCAGCCACCCGCGACAACCGGCGCGATCACTCCGAAGCCTATGGACAAGCCGAAGACGATCCGGTCTTTGAGCTGCTTGCGCTTCTCTCGTCTCTGTTCCTCGAGGTTCTAGAAACAAAGCACGTTTACTGATCAATCAAAGTATGAACTAGAGAATGAAAATGTTCCTGATACTTCGAATGCGGTAAGAAAGAGGCGAGAAAAAATCACGCAACAATCAGTGGCGATGAATCCACTATGCCAACTTATCGAGAATTCTCACACTATCAACATCTCATAGTCCTTGATTCTCTGATGCATAAAAAACGAGAGAAAAATAAAAGGAATTCTCACCTCGGAGGGAACTTCACCCTCGCGAGCGTCCGTCTTGAAAGCTCTGAACGCCACAGCCACGGCCAAATTCCTCCTGGAGTGCCGAGAAGATGGACAAGACCACAAGTGGCCATACCGCGGATTGGAGGAGCTCAAAGGGAAGGAATGCAAGGGAGCAAGAGCAAGAGCAAGAGGAGGAGGCGCCAATGGGGCGGAATAGTGCAGCCATGGCGCCGTAGCGATCAAACAGCTACTCATTCTCAAGAATCCTGCCACGAGCCCAACACCATCTCCTTACTTTTAGGGTTCATAGGTCTCGCGTAAGATTATAAAAGAAAGAGCTCGTGTTCTATACAGGATCACCTATAAGTTTGATAGGATTTCTACAAGGAATCGTCCAGCGGGAAGCGTTTCCGGATGGGCCGCGACGGTGGAAGCAATCCTCGCCGAGCCTGGCGCTTGAGATAGTGCCGTCGCGCAGCGATCATCTCCTTGTGGGTTGGCCCCTGCGCAAGTAGCAAAGAATCGATCATCCAAGGACGAAGAAGAAGAAGAAAGAAATTGGAGGAATTTACCTTTGGAAGATCCATGATCTCCTCTGGGACGTGAGGCGTTCCTCCCTCCTGTCCTTCCTGCGTAGAACAAACCATCCAATCCAATCCAATCCAGCAAGGGAGTGAAAACTCCATAGCTATACCTCCTGGGTGTCAATGGGGCCGCCGGGGAAGAGCTCGTATCGCTTGGCGAATCCCCGGCGCGCCACTCTGGAGAATGTGGGCACGAACCTGGGCGCGTTGGGATCGGTGGTGAGGTCGGACAGGTCGGAGAGGCCGCTGATATCATTGAAATCGGGCTCCGGAGATGGAGTCGGATTGGAATTGGAATACGTGCACCTCACCGCCACCGCGCTCGACGATGATCTCGATCGATCCGCTCGAATGCCAATGCCTGGGCGCGCTGGGATCTGGGTGAGAATCCCCGCTAGACAGGGGAGGAGGCTCACCATAGCCAAAAACCCTGGGAAAATATCTGTGCTCTAAATTTTAGGGTTCTAAAAAATTAAAGGTAGCAACTAGAATTTACAAAGTAAAAACGAACTCTTCCGGCAAAAAATTCACAAGAAAAGAAAACGTATACGACCTCTCTACGGTTCCATTGTCACGCGACTCTAGCTTCTGTGCGATTTTTTGCCGATCTTCTTCTTTTTCTCTCCATTCACGCTGGACGCGGTGAGCTTGTTCTTGTTGCCCACGACGAGCCTCTCCACTGACGATCTCCTGAGCTCGCGAGCGGCTCGAAAGTTCTCGGATTCCTGTGCCTTGAATCTCCGGATGTAATCGTCGTTGGCCGGAGGCATCGAGCAGGGAGAAGTTTGCGAGTTCGACGTTTCCGTGCGCTTGAGAAACTCGAGCTGCTCGGCCTCGGCGATGCAAGTCACGGCACTCTTGCACAGGAGCTGCGCTCCCTCTGGAACTCTCGGCTTAAATCTCTGCAGCTTCGCGTACTCTCGCAAGAGATGGAGCATGTACTCGTACACCCGATCCATGCTCAAGTCCTTCCTCAGAAACTCCTGTGCGTGGCTCCCAATCGCCTCGGCCTGTATATCAAATCGATCAAACTCTAGAAACTCTCAACCGGATTTTTCGAAGTGGAGAGACTGACCTCCTTGGGATGACTGTTTCCCCACTTGACTGCGTGATCGATCGACGAGCACATGTCCTGACGATCAATCGGCCAGTAGTGGTGGAGTGGAAGCAGCCCTCGCATGAAAAAGTCGTGGTAATCGGGCTGGACGATCAGGGTGGTGGATCCGCAAGCCATGATGTACTTGAAGCTCACGGACCACGCGTGACCCTCTGCGTAGAGCTTGTACCTGGGACCACAGAGAAAAGAACCCCACTCAGTACTTCCACTAGAAGAAATCACTTCTTCCATAACTCTCGACAAAGCAAACTTCAAAGGAAGAGCTTCTTCCATAGCCATAACTGTGGAGAAAGCTCTCTAGAAAACTTCGAAAGCAAGAGCTTCCTCCATAGCCATAGCTTCGGAGAACGCCCGAAAATCTATGCAGTACCTGTGACGGCATTGATCCGAGAGCTTGGAGTTCTTGAATCCCTGCTGCGACTCGGCGATCCAATTCTACCAGGGTGAATGAATGAAGAACATTTGAGACCAAGCGCAATTGATGCAAACCTGGACGTATATGTCAGCGCCAAAGTCTCGCTTGTCGGTTTTGTTGCAGGCCAGCAGATCTGTCCTAACCTGCGCGCCAACGTGTGGATTCCCCTTCCAATGCGCGCGCGGCCGCCGATTCTCCCAGCGCGTCTCCTCCGAGCCATGGAAGATGGACGAAGCTTCCTCCCCCCACGCCCCAATGCGCACCTCCGCCCTAGAAAACCAAGCGAGAGATAAAGCTCGAGAGCTCGACAGATCGATGGAAGAAATCTTCGAGAGAGAAACTTACCACCCCCAAAAGGACCAATCTGGGAATGCGATGTCGACGGTGTCGCGCGAGCCACAGTAGGCGAGGAGTGGCGGCGGCGCGCGGGATTTGTAGCGGCTGCGGCGGAAGTGTGGGCGATCCATGCAGTTAAACATGAACTCCACGTCGGGGACGGCGCCGGCGGGGAATCGCTCGAGCAGCAGCAGCAGACCCCAGAGCGTGAACATCGCGCGGCTCTGGACGCATTGGTAGTAGAGCTCGGCGTAGAGCTGGCCGCCGATGATCGCCACGCGGAAGGCGGCGAACTCGCGGGCCTCCTCCAGCGCCGCCCTGGAGATCCCGCCGCTCGCCCTCCACGGCGCCAGGTCGTGGTGGATCCACTGGAAGAAGTCCGGGCACGACTGCTGCGACGAGGAGTTTGCCGCGGCGGGATTGGCGATCGCGGTCCATGGCGGCGCCGCGCACGAGAGGTAGGAGCATTCGAAGATCTTGTGCGCTCGGCTCCAGGAGATTTGGTTCTTCCGGGCGAGGGGGAAATGGTGCCATGGCGTCGGGAGGAGATTGTCGCCCGCGAGAGTCCTGGTGTAGAAGATCACGGACTACGACGAGAGAGAGCACCATGAATCATTTCAGCAAAAGGAAGAGAGAAGAGAAAATTCCACCACTTACGCTGTAGCTTGAAATGAGATACAAGGTGGGAACGAGGCAGAGCAGCAGAGAGAGTGGAATCACGGCACTGATCAAGTGCCTACCTGTGAATTTCTTTGCTCCTCTTGATTTCATGGTTACTCTCTGGTAGGGCATTTGGAATTCCCTGTCCAAAAAAGGTCTTGGATTTAAAGTTCAAGTTAAGATTAAAGTTAAAGTAAACTTAAACAGAAAACGTAACCATAAACTTTAGTATTTACGAAAATTCTACCATAAAAAATAAAACAGAAAATCTACTGATATTTAAATTAGACATGTGAGGGCCAAGTGGATATACTATGCATTATAATTATAATATTCTATTATAATTTATCCAAATCTCCTAAAATATATAATTTATCATTCTTATATAAATTACATAAAAATTAATATTTTAGACGTAAAAAATAACCATAAAATTTAATATTTAAAAAAATCCTACCATAAAAAATAAAACAGAAAATCTAATGATATTTAAATTAGACATACTATGCATTATAATTATAATATTCTATTATAATTTACATAAATCTCTTAAAATATATAATTTATTATTCTTTTATAAATTACATAAAAAAATTTAATATTTTATGTTACATTTTAGACTAGTATTTGTTTCTATAGTTATTAGTTTTTTCTGACTTAGTGCAAATGAGGAAAATTACATTAAATATTGTGCATAAAGGTGACATTTTTGATGAAAGTTCTAAGACAATTATTTGTATAAATTTAAAAATAATTTATAATTTAAATAAAAATATTTTCATTATTTATAATTATTCAAGGATTATAATATTCTCTTATATTCAATAGCACATATTCTTTCAATCGAATATAAATGCACTTGAATAGTTCATTTTAGTCATTAGAAAATCATTAAAATTATTTTTCAATTCTATTGATTATATGATTTCATAAAAAATAGTAACTTTTAAGTAACACTTTCAGTTATTTAATTTATGGAAATACTATAGATTTAGTTATGCATTTTTTATATTCACAATAGTATTGTAAATCATTTTTTAGAATGACATTCAAATCCTTCAAAAAATTTAAATTTAATGCCTATTTTATTGATGCATTTTACATTTTTTACATATAGCTAGATTAAGGTTTTTAACATTTTTAATATTTCATTTTTTTATTTCCTTCTATATTATAATCATTTTCATTCAATTAATAGTGAATTCTTGATATTTATCATATACAAAAAGATTATGAAACATGAAATATTACAAAAAAATTAATTTTATTCCTATAACAAAATAATTCAAATATTGTTGTAATTTTTTTATATAAAACATATTTAAAATAATGATGGGGACAATATGTGCATGTTACTTACTTACTAACTAAAAGTTATAATTTGGGGTTAACTTATTGGAGTTATAAATTTTGTTATTTATTGTAATTTCTTTTAACTTGTCATAGTTGTTATTAATATAATAGAATCATAAAATAAATGAAATAATATTTCATTTATAAAAAATTATAAATCTATAATCTATAATTTTAATAAAATATTATGCCCACTATTAGAATTTATATTTTGATCTTTTAAAATTTAGTTAACAAAGGAGTTAAAGATTGATTAGTGATATGTATAAACTTAAAATTATAAAATTTAAAACTTATAAAATCTTGAAATCTTATATTTTATTTTGAACAATTCAATGAAATTTCTTTCTCATTTATTAATAATAACACTAAAAATATGATAAATAAAATTTTGTGTAAAAGCCTTTGAATTAGTATTTATTTTGTCTTTGAATATTTTTATTGATATTTTTTATATAACTGAAAGTTTTTAAATCAAGTATAAACTAATGTGACATTTTAGTTATACCTATATATAATTCTAACTAATGATAATATTATTACGATTGTTTTTATATAGAAAAAACTATCACTCTACAGTTTATGCCAGTTTTTTCAAGTTCACGCAGTACAGGATGAATGCTCTAATTTTTAACATAGATAACTAATATTTACATATTCTCTATTTTTATAAACTTAATTTAATAACTCATAAGTAAGTTTTGTAAAATAATGATTTTACTGTGAACATGATAATTAATGAAAATAACTTTTAATTTATTACAAATAATAATTTAGTTTGTGTTCACTTTGGCTACCTTATATTTTATTTTAATTTTAATTAAAATTGATTATGTTTCTTATTCAGCACATTACCTTCTTATTTTTAAAATTAAGGTTTTAAATATTTTATACTGTTGACTCTACTCAATTTTGGAATTGCTAATTTGTAAACATATTTTGACAATGTAATGATGTTGGATTTGCATTGTCATCACATGATTATCCATAAAGAATTTCCATTTATTTATTATTTCCAGTTTTTTCAATTGAAACTAATTATTTATAGTTTAAAATTTGATGAGTTAAAGTCTATATTTTAACTGAATTTTAAGAAATTTCAAAAAAAAACATCAAAGTACCATAATGCCTAGAGCTCCAAGCTTGGATGGAGCTGGGATTGGAGCATTGATGGAGTGTGGGGCATAAAACATGGCCAAGCGTAGGGAAGATGCGAAGAAAGTAGAGCTATGTCCCAATTGGTGATCGAGATGATATTAAAGCTAGGAGAGGTGAAGCAGTCACCAACTTCTTATTAAAAAAAAAAAACGAGCAGATTAATGGACAACAATGCCCAGAGGGAAAGGATCAAATTAGGAGTGTGATACACCCAAAACCAATGCTAAACACGAAGCCCCTTACGCCCTATGGCAAATGGGCAGTTCATGGAGCACCAAGCTAAATCATGGCATTTTTCCCTTCTGCCAGAGAAGCATAGAATCCAAGGGTTTTGGGGAAGGCAAAAGAAGCTTGCAAACACTGAAGTGGGTTCATATCTCAAGGTTGAATTTTATCAAACACCTGGAACAAGTTGGAGCAAGGAGCAAGGCCTGGAGTAAGGAGCAAGGAGCTTGAATGGAGCTAGGATCATGAAAGCTTGCATGGATGGAGGCGTGGAGTGTAGAAGATGAAAAGTGACCTGAAGATGATGACCATCCTTCATCT